CTCCCCTCTCTCCGTCTCTCTCCCCTCCCTCCCTCTTTCTCTCTTTCTCTCTCAACCTCTCTCTCCCCCTCTCTCCCTCTCTCTCCCTCTTTCTCCCCTCTCTCTCCCTCCCTCTCTCTCCCTCTCTCTCTCCCTCTCTCTCTATTTCCTTCTCTCTTCTTGTGTCCACACGTCTGTGAGTCTCACTGTTCGTGTGTTTGAGCCTCTGTCTGTATGTGAAAATCCATCCCTTCTAAGGGTTTCTCTAGACTCCCTTCAATTTTATCATTTGAACAACTTTCTCTACCGTGTGGATTTCTCGCCTCCCCCCTCTATATATATATATATCTATCTATCTCTTTCTATCTCTCTCTGTGACTCTCACTCACTCTTTCTCTCCTCTCTCACTCAATTTGCCTCTTGTATTCCAACCCTCTTTCCCTAACCCTTTTCCTTCCCTTCGCCCGCTACATAAACACTGAACTTTTCTCCACAAAAACTTAACACATCTCTAATCTGCTCTTCTCAATTCACAAAAGGAATGAATACTGTTTTGTGTAATGGTGCGCTCCGAAATTTATTCTTGCCATTTTCGCCACTTCTTTTGCAAGTTCTGAAAAGGACTGACGTTTTTATAGGTGTGCGACAATTTCTTTTTTCACATTCTTCACTTTCTCTTCATTGGCCGTCATCTTATTATTTCCCTTCTCTTCTCTCCTTTGCAGGAGCCTGTGTTGCTTTCTCAAGGGGCAATAATGCAGGTGTTGTGCATTTTCCTTGCTGAAGATTAGGATGAAACGAAAAAAAGGAACCGAGCTAACAAAAAGTTAAGAAATAAAAAGATTAGGCGTTTTAAAAAAAATAAAAGAAGAAATGAAAAAAAGTGTGTGTGTGTGTGTGTGGGGGGGGGGGATGTTGATTCGTCGAGGGAATGTGTAAAGGTGTTGAAAGAGATGTCGATATGAATTTAACGATTTGCATTCAGGTGTGCTGAATGGTTTTTACAGGTGTGGAGTTAAAAGGAGAAGCTGATACCCTGTGTGTTCGTGGGAGTGTGCTCGTGTGTTAAAAAGTTTTTGAGTCTTGGCTACCCATGCCCTCATTTGAGGATATGTAATATTTGCATAATATGATGTGTGTTTGTATGTGCACACCTATGCTTACGTAGATGGCTTTGTGTGTGTGTGTGTGTGTGTGTGTGTGTGTGTGTGTGTGTGTGTGTGTGTGTGTGTGTGTGTTCGTTCCGTTATGTACAGATGGCTTTGTGT